TTTGATTCTTCTCTTACTCACTTTCTGCCTTTGACTTCTCTCTCCTGTAAGACTGAGCACCCTTTGATGGTACCTGCTGTTACAGCATCAAACCCAGACAGCAGCTGTTCATAAAACGCACTACACCAGAACAGAGTTGGCCAGTCTTGCTTCTCCTTGCCCATGAAACCACCTTCTTTCTGAGGTTCTGTTGGGCACCATCCTTCCCAGAAACCAACTGGCTCAGGGAGGTGGGTGTCCCATTCAGTGGCATATTCTCTGACATCAAATTCTGTAATGATAGTTAAAATGATGGAAAAAGTCCCTATCATATCAGATACACTATGACACCATTTAATCAAAATTTTTTTTTTTTTTTTTTGCTGTGCCCTCAATTCAGGAAACCCCCTTGTTTGAAATCAGTTCATCTTGTTTACTTTTCTCCCAGGCTTCAGGGATGTTGAAATACCTGAGTCATGCAGCTGAAATCCCTGGCAACATCTACGATCCCTCCTCTTCCTCATTCATGCATTGGTCTCTCTGATACCCATTGTCAGTGGGTTCGCAAAGAAGCTCAGATGAAATGTTCAGTAAATGAGCTTTTGTAAACAGGATGAGAAATGTGCTAGCATCTTCAAATGAGTCTAGTTGTTCAAAGTAATATTTTATCAATTTGTAATTTTTAATATTTTTATCTTACTATCAAACTATAAGAGATTGGGAGGATGGGCAAGACTGGACAGTGTTTTGTTCTGTTGTACAAAGGGCTGCTGAGTTGGAATTCATTCAACAGTGTGTAACAATCAGTGTCAAATTGTAGTTCATATGTAGCACTGTGGAATAAAGCACTGACCTCAAGGTCACTTTGAACCACAAGATCGGTAGTTCAAACTCACCAGTCGCTACTTGGAAACCCTATACAGGGTAATTATGAGTCAGAACAACAGCAATAACTATTATTACTACCAGTGAGAAAGGGTTCATTCTTTTACCAGTCTTTGTTGTTGTTGTGAAGTGCTGTTGAGTCAGTTCCAACTCATAGGGGACCCTGTATGGTGTTTCTGATGAGCACCTGGTGAGTTTGAACCATTAACCCTGTGGTTCAAACTGCCCTTGCGGTCCAGTGCATTATCCTGTAGTGCCACATCAGGACTTGAAGACATTAAAACATTCTAAGAAATAACCTTATATTTTGTTTTAAAAATGGGAGAGTTTTACATGTTAAAGCAAAGCAAATTTAATGAAACTATTGAAATAAGTCAATTAGCAGGCTAGTAATAACTTTAAGAGGTTAACAAGTTTCACTTGCCACGAGGACGGCTCTGTTACAAGCCTGACGTTAAGGAACGAGCGTCTGAGGCAGGGGTGGCTCAGGCGCTATGTCTACCCATACTCGCTGTTATGTGCCAGCGAGTTGGTTCCGACTCAGAGCCAGTCTGCATAGTGTTGCCCAGGACGTCCACCTTTGCTAGAGCAGCAGAGCACCAACCTTGTAGATCGCAGTCGAATGTTTATCCTACAAAACCACCACACTCTCCCCACACTCGTTCCATATCAACAAATAAACTAAAAAGCAGTGATGAAAAGTGACCCCCCCAAAAAAAAAATCCAGTGAGGCCTTACAGACTGAATTATCATGCAAGTCACATATCAAAAGCAGTAGTTTCAAGAGCAGTTCAACTTTAATAATTTATTCTGCATAACAAAAAAGAAAAAAAAATGAAATATTCTGATTTTAAAACTGTATTTACCAATACAATACATTGCTGGTAATATATAGCCTTTCACTATGCACTATTATTTTTACTTTGCCCACAAAATGTTAAGGAAAATACTGAATAAATATACATTTTCTTAAAAACACACACACATAACTGTTACAATTGATACAGATCAGGAATGTTTCCCTCCCATTCAAATTTTGATCTAAAAATAAAGAGTGGTGTAGACCGCCAAATTCCCAATGTTGAGATTGGTAAGTTAAGTGCTGACGTTCAGAATCAGATAGGAAACAACTGAGTCAAAACAGAAGGCAAAACCAAGAAAAGTGACAACCCGTCATCAAGTGGCAGCATCAATGGGCTCAAGCATAGCAACGATTGTGCGGTTGGCCCAGGACCGGGCAGTGTTTCGTTCTGCTGCGCACAGGGTCACGGTGAGTTAATGCACCTAACAGCAACAATCATCAAACGTGCAAACGTCTTCATATAGGCAAGCCTGAGAAATCAAGTTCCCTAAAACATTGTTTTCAGGCTTAACTGCACACAACCACAAGGAATTGCCTTATAGCTTTCTGCACCGAAAGAAAATCAAGTTATGCTTGAAAAACAAAAGCCCAGACCAGTGATGCCTGGCTGCCTCTCCAGCCCTTCTTTGGGTTTGCCTCAGTGTAGGTTTTCATGCTGAAGGTCATTTCTTAATTCTGTGCTCTATTCTCGCAACACAACTAAATCTAGTGGATGCATTGACAATCCTGTTCAGGCCTTGTAGGCTGGGCAGCTGCTTGCCGTATGTACTCAGATGTGGTCATCTCGTCCACTGAGCCTCACCCGGGAAACGTCTCAATTGCCAAAAGGAAACCACTTATTGTCACCATTAAAAAAGATTTCTTCTTATAAAATTCTAAGAGAAATAGCTTGATTTCTCTGAAAATGATTTCCCACAATATTTCATAGGTTCAAATTTTTTATGCAAAAAACTTGTAAAATAGAACAATAATTTGGCCTTTTTTATTTTTTAAAAAGTTTTAAGAAACCTAAGAAAATGCAGTATGAAGTAAATGAGATGTTTATTAGTCTAAAAGACAGAGTCACAGGTAACAGAAAGATGCCAGAAAAGAAGGTAATTCATTCATTCCACATCTGGGTACATTTCTAGTTCCTTTACCAAAGATTCTAAGATCGAAAAAAACTGGTAAAAAACAGTCACAGAAGAAATATTTCATGAAAGTAATTAAAAGTCTAAAACAACAGCTGGAAACATGTTAAGTACCATCGATTCTAATTCATATCGACCCTGAACTGGGGTTCAGAGGAGTGGCTGGTGGGTGGAACTGCAGACCGTGCAGTACAGAGCTCAGCCTACAGCAGCGCAGAAGGTGGTGCATCAGGATACATCATCTAGCTGGGAGAACACGTCACAGAGAGAGCCTGTGGCCACAAGGGCTGTTTTACAGTTCTTAGACTGAGTCTGTCATCACCCACACCACCTGTCCTCAGCAGAATACTAGAGTCAAGGGGCCCGGGCACTCAATACAGGTGGAATTGTTAGCTAGGTTGCACTGGATAACAAGAATGATTTAAAATGGTAACTTTATGTAGAACTTATTTTTGAAAATTTAATGTGGACTAAGAGCTTTATCATTTTAAGGTTTCCCTTTTTGTAATAAAACAACAGAGAAAATCAGATGGAATTATACAAGAAGCAAAAACTAGAAATTATGCTCTCCTGGCACAAGTGCTGGAAGAGGTAAAGCAATTCTGGGGGAGGCGGTGGGCCATTGAATGTATGTTTTCAGTTTTTAACTGCGATTGAACTCCTCACCCAGCTGAATGTTAAGATTTGTGTTCAATGCTTTTGTTTTCTATTCTAGAGGATGAATTTTTAATCTGGGGCTAAAATTTAGAGCCCAGACCTTCATTCTCGTAACTGATTTTTTGTTTCTTGTCCTCTGGCCCACTCTCCAAATTACCTACATTAAAAGTATCATTACTGACACTCTTGAATTCATCACTGCAAATGTCCTTGTATGGAACTCCAAACTCCAGAAATACCGCTAAATACTGGGCAGCCAAGTGAGAGACACCGTCTGGAAAAGACAGTTCACAGTACTTTTGCATAAGACGAGCATGAGCTACGTGGTCCACCACATAGTCTAAGCTTACCAAGTGGGACAGACAAAAAAGCTGCTACTGCCGTGAGACATAAATGGTGTGAGGTGAAGGGCAGCACTGATGTCTCTTAGCTGTGGAGGTAGAAAACTCACTACTAATCACCAAAGTGGATCCACTTACATGAACAATGCTTAAATATCAAAGTTTACAAACTGCCTACGGAGGGTACGAATGTCTTTTTGGTACATGTGGGTAAAAAGCTAAACTAGATTAACGGGAAGAATGCTGACCAGGAGAGTTCCTTTATGGAAGTGTTTTCTGTGCTTTACACACACACCTTCCATTTGCACAAAGTCCTCTTCTTAAGGAAGGAACAGCCTCCCAGCTGTGCTCACTGGTACCCGTCCGACCGTCCGCCAGCTGAGAGGGAAGGTGACAAGTGGAGAATCAAAGACAGAAGCTTGTGTTGCATTTCCAGGGGACATGAGGCTGGTGGTCTTAGGACACGGGGAGGGAGGCTGATCAAGTCTTAGAGATGCCCTAACTAGCCATTTTGGGTTTAGAGATCTCTGGGGTTTTAGGAGGTTGGCTAGCTGCAAACAGTGAGCATGTTAAGGGTGCCTTCACCCACACTACAAATCTTGTAAATAGGTCATTTCTCATATGCTTTAAAAATACTGGTTTTGAACCATCAAGTAATGAAAACCCCATAAACCAGCTGTCAAAGTGACTGTCTTACTAGATAGGAGGAGGGCGTCCCCATGGATATGTCTGACACAGAGAGGAGGGAGGAAGGTGGGAACGAGGAAAGTGTGGGGAGAGTTAGTCAGAACTACAGAGTTCCTTCCTTCTCACATTCTGGAAGCCCCCCTGTAGGCCGAGGGGGTGCACATGATGATGGTGTGCTTCATCGGTGTGTTTAAGAAACACACCTTTCTGCTCGTTTCTGCTCTATAAATGCTTGTGGGAACGGAACCTGACGTCAACACACCTCACTTACTAGGGGACTATCTGACAACGAGGCAGCCCCACTGCAGGCGGGAGGATAGTTCAAACAGTGCACAGTTCAGCGAGGATGCCTGGCTTCTGGCCTGGTGATCTAGGAGAGGGAGCGCAGGGGCATGGGAGCGTTGGAAGGGCGTGAAAGTCGGAGGTCATCAGTGCTCCTGCCCACCTCCGCAGGCTGGAACAGTCATGGGATGGGAGCACAGCTCCGGGGGGCAGCTCAGGTTTTCATTTTCCCTTTAGACATGACATCGGCGTACGAGGTGTGAATGAAGTCGTAAAGCTGCTTAGCACTGGCAGCATTCCCCAGAATACTGGTGAGCGCGTCCTGTGATAAGGTGGCTAATTCTACCATGTTCTTGACGTGGTTCATCAAGGAGCGGCAGTTTTTGGCACTGACCCCTGGCATCTTTAACAAGAAGTCCTGTGGCCCAGGGTTGTACTTTTCTGACTCGGGGAGGATGACCGAGTCTGCAGTGATGGCCACGGCCGCGGCAGCATCAGGCTGTGGCTTGTTCTGTTTCAGCTCCTCAAACAACTCGGCTGTTGCGTGAGGGGAGGGGCACCAGAGAATCCGGAGCCTGGGGAAATGCAGCGTCAGGAGGGTGAGTTTGGAGCTGATGTCGTTGCTGGAGATCTCCTGGTGTAAGGCACCTCGGGACGTGAGCGAGAAAGGCTTGCTGGGATCAAACTCGATCAGGAGCATGGGTCGCTTGTAGTAGCGGGACATGGACACACACTGGCTGTACAGGCGGCCGTTATTTAAGGAGCCAATCAAATCGCTGATACTCTTGCGCTCCACACACATTTGAGGAGTCAGAATGTAGTCTCCAACCTCCAAAGTCACTGGTTCAATGTCAACGCCCCGTCGATGGAGCAGAGATGGCAGTTCACTTCGGAACTCTCGCATGTCTACAATTATACTTTGCTGTGTGCCACTCTGTTCCTGGCCACCTAGAAGAAAACACTGCATTTTAAGGACTGTCTCTGAGGAAGAACTCTCGCAGAATGGCAAAGAACCAAGTTTAACAGCTCTATCTCCCTAAACGTCACAGAGACAAACCAACCCAATCAAATAGTGGACAGAGGATTTGAACCGACATTTCACCAAAGTGGACACGGAAAGGGCCAATAAGCCCATGAAAAGCTACTCGATGTCCTCGGTCTCTGCTGTGGCCACGTGCCAGGGGTCAGTCCCTACTCAGACCCTCAAAGCCAGAGCAGAGTTTGCACAGCGTTCCCTAGGCCCTAATTTGCATGGGGGCAGATCACTTTTCTCCCTTGAAGCTTCAGGGTGGACGCAAGCCACCAAACTGTTAGCAGTGGAATGCTTAACCACTGTGCCACCAGGGCTCTTGTAATTAGTTTGTAAGGAGTCAAACGCAAGTCAGAATGCCAAAGAGATGTGACTTCACCCCACTGCAAAGGGTATGACCAAAACGCAGAGAATGACAGGCGGCGGTGCAGATCTGGAGATACTGGGACCTTCACCTAACCTGGTGGGAATGCAAGGGGCACAGCCGTGTGGGAAACGCTCTGGCAGTGCCTCAAACCTTAAGCGGAACTACCACGTGACCCAGCCATCACTATCCCAGGCCTGGATCCAGAAGTGAAGGCAGGAACCGCAAATAATGCCCACTGTAGCCCTTTTCACAGGAGCCCAAAGGTGGAGACAACCAAACTGACCACCACCAGACAAACGGATGGAGAAAACGCGCTCCATACACACATGGTGGAACATCACTCATCCAGAAAGGTGACTGTGCTCTGCTGCCACCACACAGATGAACCCGGAAAACAGCAGGCTGAGGAAGTCAGTCAGCAGCAGAATGGCAAATACTACACGATCGCACTTATGAGAAAGAAGCAAATATCAAGAAACCAAGGATTCTCAATGGCTAACAGGACAGGTGAAGGAGAGAGGGATGTGTCGGCTTAGTGGATGATGAGTTTATGTGAATGGTGGAGAAATACTCTGGAAAAGGATCGTGAAAATGGAAGCACGAGGTGAAGAATGCCACCAGCATCACTGAGTCACACGTGCACAAACGGTGGAGATGGCGTAGTTTTGTTTGCCAGAGCTTCACCATACACAAAAACGAAAAGTACATTCTGCGTCTCAACCAAAAGAACATCAGAGTGACTCTGGAATGTGACTCACTGGTAACAGCAGTGCCTGTACCTCAGGCTTCTTGTCTACAGTGTGGGTGCAGGGATTGGGGAGGATCCTCACCAGGCCTGACCCCATCTGGAGTTGGCAGGCAGGGGCAACACTGGAAGGAGACGGCACTCACCAGCTTTCCGAGTATCAGCAGGCGCATGTGTGGTGGAGGTGCTGCCTCTCACTAAGTCGAGGTTGGTCTCGTCTCTGCCTTCTCTTTCTTCAGGGATAACCATGCTGGCCTTTTCCCTGGAGGAGAAAAACAGTGAAAACCTTTCATTTCTAAGTGTCAGGTTTTAATCTTTTGCAAATTCAAATGCATGAAATAACCTACACAACACAGCGGCAAAAGTCTGAAGCCAGAGATGGATGCAGGGAGAAGTGAAGTGGCTGGGGACTCTAGACTCATGAAGGGAGAGGGGCTATGTGCTGGCAGCTGGGGGCGGGGGCAGGCTTGCAGGGTATGCCCTTTGGTTGTTTGAATGATAGTAAATTCCTGAGCGTTTTGGTGTACATCCAAAAAGAAAAACCAGAGGAAATGGAAGCAAATGCTATTGAATGATGTGGTGCATGGAGGGGATTATAATCATTGCAATAAAATGAAATATGATAGGATGAGTGTAAAACTGATGTTCTCCCATGTAAACTATCACTCAACTCACAATAAAAACTTTAAAATAAAAGAGTGTGAAATACATCAGAAGTGAAGATGCGCAGACAGGTGAGGGACAAAGGAAGCAGAGATCATTTCTTGGTTGGGCACTATCTCCTGATCTTCAGAATAAAAACAGGAGTTGATTATTTTCTGCTGTGTATGTCCTTCAAGCACTCTGAGTTATTAAACCAGCCATCTAAGGATCATTCCCACCCCCTAGGTACAAAGGTCGACAAGGATGGGGAACTTAGACATTGGCCACCCAAAATGGGGGGGCTACAAAAGCAAGAAGTGACTGGCTTACAAGCTTTCAATAGGGAACCTAGATCCAGAGGGTAAGGGGAAAGGTAGAATCTTCACTGAGTTGTTTGTTTCCAACCTGTCTGGATGGTGTTGATAAAAGGTGAGGGGGATAAGACTCCTGTGGTTCAATAGAAAATGATTGCTATCAGGTCTGACAGTGAGTGTTTGAAAGATAAAGGCAGACATTTTGAAAGAAAAGGAGGGGAGTGGCTGATTTTGCAGTCCAGGAACCCAGGTCCCTGGAACCATCAAAGGAGAAAAGCAAAGTGCGGGACCCTGTCTGGGGAAGCAGTGATGCCAGGGATGAAGGCAGAGATGATGATGTGGAGAGAAGGAGCAGCTGGGGACTCTGGACTCAGGGAGGGAGAGGGGCTGTGTGCTAGGGGCTGTGTGCTGGCGGCTGGTGGGCAGGCCTGTGGAGTGCACCCTTTGGTTGTTTGATGATGATAGGATGAATGTAAAGATAATGTTCTCCCATGTAAACTAACACATAATTCACAATAAAAACTTAAAAGAAAAAAACCAAAAAACCCCAGCCATGTAAGAAATGTACAGAGAAAAATTAAAGTTAATACAAGATACCAACTTTCCACCCCAGATTTAATATGAAAATCCTTATTCATTGTGCTAAACAATGGAAGATTTGCTTTTGGTGATCTCAAAACAGCTTCACTCAATACTGTTATATAAAGCCACAAAGTTTATAACAAGTTCTACCATAATTGTAAGCTTAATGAGAAAAATATACTTCAGAAATGAAACCTGGATGGTGAGAAAAACACTGAGTCTTCCTGACCAGTAATTCAAATTAATTTAATAAAAACTAATAACTCCAAGTATTTAGTTCCTTGCTTTTAATGTTTAGCATAATTTCTCAAGCTCCAGGTAGCACAGTGGGGTAAAGCACTGGACCTCAAGGTCAGTTTGAACCACAAGGTCAGCGGTTCAAACTCACCAGTGGTTCCTTAGAAACCCTACAGAGGGTCGCTAAGAGTCAGAAACGACTCAACAGCACCTAACAACAGCGGCAAACGGGCTCCCTACTGCAGCGCACTCTCAATGCATAAATCTTCAGAGTCTAGAACGTGTGATCATCTGACCGCTGTGTACACGGGGAAGATCTAGTTTATAATAAGCAGACACTCATCATAGACAGTTTAATAAATTAGGCCAGACCACAGGTACATCTGGAGTCCTGGTGTGGCACTGTTGGGTTAATGCCGCAGACTGCAAAGCCGTTTGAACTTCAAGGTCAGCAGTTCAAGCTCGCCAGCAGTTCTTCGGAAACCCTATATGGGTCGCTATGGGTCGGAACCGACTCGATGGCACTTAACAACAATAGGTACATTTACATCAGAATCTGGCGTGGACACTATTATAACTGGTTTAATTGTAGAAAAACCCAGGTCTCTATCTCTTAGTGGTGCGGTAACAGAAATGTCACAAAGGGGTGGCTTTCGCAAACAGAAACTTACTTTCTCACAGTTTAGGAGGCGAGAAGCCCAATTCAGGGCCCTGGTTCTAGGCTAAAGCTCTCGCCCCGCTTCTCTGGCTCTCTCAGGACGCTGTGTGGGAAGGTGCTTATCTCTTTTCAGCTTCTATTCAGGTTCCTTGGAGATCACATGGCTTGTATCTTCCTGTGTGCTTGCTTACTAGCTAGCTTTAATCGGGTCATTTCTATCTCAAAAGAGACTGACTTAAGACACAACTCACATGGATCCTGCCTCATTAACGTAACCTAGAACACCCTCTCCCCAATGGGATTGTAGACTCAGGTATACCAAACCAACTGTCACCAAGTCCATTCCAATTTATGAAAGTGCAGTGGTTCCACTGGGTAAGCACTGGACTGCGAACCACAATATCTGGTGGTTTGAGCCCACCAGCTGCTCCCAGCCTCAAAAACCCTACGCGGGGTGGAGGTGAGTCAGAAACTACGCCACAGCACTGAACAACAACACAGGGTTTCTAAGGCTGTAAATCTTTACAGGAGCAGAAAGTCTCATTGTTCTCCCATGGAGTGGATGGTGGGTTTGAACTGTTGACCTTGTGTTAAGCAGTCCAGTGCTTATCATATAGCGCCACCAGGGCTCCTCAGGTACTGGTATTTAAGTGCCCTGGAGTTGGTTCTGACTCACAGTGACCCTATGGAGTTTCCAAGGAGTGGTTGGTGGGCTTGAACTACTAACTTTGCATCTACAGTAAACACCAGGGACTCCCCTACGGTGTAAGGGTTAGGGTTTACACCACGTGTTTCTGAGGAACCCAATTCAGTTCCTAACAGTCCCTCTTGCAGGTTCTGCGGAGTGAGATTTCCAGTGTGTGTCGGGCCCATCCCCACCTTGTCACAGAGCCCTTTGAGGTGCACCTTTGCATAAACTTTGGAAATTTCAGCCCACCAGATACATTGGTAGTCTCCTAAAAGTACAATTTTCTCAACTATTCTGTCAGCACACCAATTCTGACCTTCTGGTAAGTAGCTGAGCACTTAGAAGCTGCACCACCAGAGCCCCTAGGCCCCTGATGCACTGGAGGAGGGGCAGAGCATGCAGGGAGTCTGGAGCAGAACCTTTCCTTCCTCAGGTGAACCAGGTACCCCTTGCACTCCCCACATGAAGCTGCCATCTTGACTAACACCTCAGTTATACACGTTTCCCCGTGTTGAACGGAACAGCATTTTCTGCATGGACTGGGAAAATGAGCCGATGCCCTGTTTCAAGACACAAAGCCCAGTGCCTTGAGGCACTTTGCCAGGGGGCTGCTGTTGATGAGGAGCCAGGCAGACCAGCTAGCGCTGACAAAGATTTTTAAAAATCATAATTTGATGGAGAGACATCTTGTGCATAAATTTGGGGGCAGGTTGGAGAAAGATTTAAGAATGTATTTCTTTGAAAAGTTGCATTTTAGTTTTGTTTTTGATTCTTCGGGTCCTATTTCTTTATAAATAGCAAAGCTCTTCACTGTCACACTTCTAATCCTCAATTCAACAATACTGACAATGAACTGGCTGGTGAAAAAGAGAGGGGAGGGAATATCACTAAACCTGCGAAAGACAGAAACTGCGTAAGGTGGAAACCCATCAGAGAAGGAAAACCCAAATCTTTTTACCAAGACAGCACCCCCCAAAGGCGGACATCTGAGACCAGGTAAAACCAAGCAGTCCACTGGGATTCCAGCTCTCACAGGTTTCACTGTTAGACTGAACTTCCAAAAATTGGTGGGAAATCTGAGTGAAAATATAATGTAATTCTTCCATGATATTTGTGGTGCCCCGTCATGTGCCCATGCATCTCCCGAGAACCCACAGAGCACTCGGGATCGCCACATCTGCATTCTGATAACCTTCTTTGACTACTTCCCCTCTCTCCGTTCACCGAGGGCTCTGAGGTATTTTTGAGCGTAGCTGGTTATGAATTGGAGTGCTAATCACAAGGTTAGCTGTTCGAATCTACCAGTTGGCTCTACGGGAGAAAGATGAGACTTTGCACTCTCATAAAGATTTATAGCCTCGGCTACCCTATGCAGGATGGCTCTGAGCCAGGACCCACTGGACAGCATGGAGCAGCTCCCCGGAAGGGCCTCCCAGACAGCTGGACGTGCTCATGTGCTCTTCCGTGATTACCTTATGAGCTTCTCAAAAGCTTCCTTTTCTTTCCGCAGGGCAGTGAGATAGCGCTGTTCCTCCGTGGAGCCTCCGTATATGAGGAAGTAAACCCTGCAAGGGAGGCAAGAGCGCCTTTAGACAGCAGAAACAGAACGTGGACTCTTTGCAAGGGGCAGCAGCCCAGAATGCTCCAATAATAAATATTTGACTAAAAATAAAAGGTCCCATCAATCACACTTATGCAAACTACGCTGCCTTAACCCCACCTACAAAGGGCTCATTACCACTTGTTTTTTTTTCTTTTGCCAAAAGGAGGAACAGAGTTTAGGTAAACACTGAAATATAGCTAGAGGGATGGTGACTCTTTCCTCATATAACTAGAAGCTAATCAAAACCACAAAGCAGAATCGTACAGGCATCTCCTTTTCAAGTGTTGCACTTCTGCCAAATTATCATTTAAAAAGTTGGATCACAGTTAAAAAGCCAGTGTATGAAAAGTTCATGTTTGTGAAAAATAAAACAAATGAAAGCTATATGACCTTTATCTTTACAAATAATTTCTCAGTTCTTTTTCATTCATGTCTTACCAGAATAGCCATCACACATTTGATATAAACACACGGACACATGGAGTACATCAGGCTTCTAGAAAATTAACTGAAAGAGGCTTTTCCCTTAGAAAAGGAAACGACTACTTTTCTGTCTTGTTTGTGGCTGGGAGAGCTGGATGAAGCACCTCCGCTATCCCTGTCTTCCCCTTCTAGTAACCTTCACCTTTCTACAGTGAAACCTGTCAGAGCCGGAACAGGGATGTTCATCCAGGTCTCTCACGTTTTCCACCTTTGACAGAGTGCCTTCTTGTATTTCTGTTTTCCTTCTGACATGTTTCTGCCCTACATAGGTTCCGGCTCTCACAGGCTTTACTGATTTCCTTGAAAGGTGAACAGGAGAAAGACCAGAGGACACTGAATCAGAGACCTCAGTTCTCCCATGAATGTGCAGGGTGGCCAAAGGTCAAGTTACTGACCATTCCTGGCCTCAGTTTCCCTCTGATCCAGTGAGAGGTTGAACTCCCAGGTCCCTTCTGATGCTGACCTTTAGCTTCCAAATACCCATTAGCGTGTGCTCAGACAACACAGAACCCTGGAGTGTAGACGCTATCTGCAAAATTGATCAGCAGCCCAGCATGAGCAACTTGAATCTCTCCATCCTGCTTGACTGCCGACCCACCTTCTCCAGCCACTTCCACTCCGGGAATTAGTCAAACTGCTAGCGAGCGAGGTCTCTGTGGTTTGTTCGGACTGAGGTCAGGCTACTAATTTGCCTCTTAGTTTCCCTCAGATTGCTGCAGATTCCGAACACTCTATTCTTTGGGAAGAATACTTTTCTCGGGAGCCCGAGCAGTCCCTCATACTTCCTGTTCTGCTCAATACAATAGCTAACACCCTTTCTCCACAGACTTCCAGATGCACTAGAAAGCCAAATTCCCAGGAAACTCAGTCAGCAGTCCTGGTGTGGTGCTGTGGGTTAATGCACTGGACTGCAAAGTCAGTTTGAACTACAAGATTAGCGGATCAAGCTCACCAGCTGCTCCTCGGAATCCCTGTACAGGGTCACTAAGTGTGGGAACCGACTCACCCGGCACTTAACAACAACATTAACAGCAATGGTATACTAAGGGTGAGGAAACCAACAGGCAACTGAGGAGCCTCAGGAAGCGGGAAAGTGAAACCTTTCGGAACACAGCCAATCTGCGCGCTGACTTGCCTCAGAGGTTTCCCAGGCCTGCTTGCCCTATACACTTCAAGCTGACGAACAAATGTCAGCTCCGCATCGTACAGAACCACGTATCTCGGCTCCACTTCATGGAGCACCCTCGTCAGGGCGTAGGGGTCACTGCAACCTAGAAGCGGGTGGATGATCATGAGGGGCTCTTTTAGGATTCCGTAAGCAGCATCGGATGACAAGTTTAAATCAAATTCTTCGTGCTTAATCTCTTCTAAGCTGCTTTCTTGGCTGCTGCTAAGTTCTCTCTGGTATCCTTCCTCTGCCTCCCCTTCGTCCTCCTCAGGTTTTCCCATCATTTGTGTTAAGGTCAGCCTTCGTTTTTTCCTTTTGACAGGCTTTTCTTTGGTGGAAGCCCTTTCTTTGTTTTGGAGGTCTTTGGGCCTTTTGTTAGATTTTGTAATTCTCTTTGTCTTGTCCTCCTTCCTAAACTTCATCCATACTTCTTCAGCTTTGCTATCCTTCTCGAAGCTTTTCCTGTAGAGTCTCAATAAAAAGGCCTCTGCTCCGGTAGTGACATACTCTCTCAGTTGGGCACATGTCCGGTCATCACTTGCACAAATAAGTACTTGACCTAAAAGCAAGAAACAGTGTTAAGTTACTATGACCTCATTTGCCTCCCCACTCCTCATGTGCCCCCACCCCCTTGACCCTCCCCACTAAAGGAAAACACAGTACCCCTTAAAGGACTTAACAAATCGCTCTAAACAGTCTCAAGTGCTTATCAAACACTTTTTCCTCTCTGGCAGAGTAACTGAAGGCTTTTGAGTAAGTTGAAGCCAGAAATATTTAGTCTTATCAAAGTAGGAGAGAAAGCTGGAAAGTAAACCATCAGGGTTTCAGTTCATACTTGCATGGGCTGATTTCAAAGGAAACATGCTTCCACACGTCTCTCATCAGTGGATGGCTGCAGAGCAGTGCTCTCAGTAACACACCTGGCTGAGTCTCGGGGTTAGGTGGTGATGAGTCAGTTTCTACTCACAGCAATGCAGTGTGCACCAGAACGAAACACTGCCCAGGGTCCTGTACCACTGTCCCTACTGTTGTCGTGTTTGAGCCCACTGTTGCTGCCACCGAGTCAATCGATCTCTTTTTGGGCTCGCTCTCCTCTTTACCTTTTCCTGAGAACATGTCAAAGTACTGAGAAGTTTTGCCACCCTCACTTCTAAGGCATTCTGGCTGCGCTTCCTCCAACACAGACTGGTTTGTTCTTCTGGCAGTTTTGGTACTTCCAATATTCTTTGCCAACACTGTAACTCACATGCCTCAATTCTTCTCCATCTTGTCGGCTTTCACATGCATTTAAGGCAACTGAAAATACCACAGCTCAGAATGGGTGCACCTCAGTCCACAAACATTTTAAAAAGGTCGTTTGCAGCAGATTTGCCCCATGCAAGACATCATTTCATTCTGTGACTGCTGCTTCTATGAGTGTGAATTGTGGATCCAAGAAAAATAAAATCCTTGACAACTTCAATCTTTTCTCCATTTATCATGATATTTACTGACACAATTGTGAGGACTTTTGTTTTCTTTACAATGGGTTGTAATCCATACTGAAGACTGTATTCTTTGATGGTCATCTCTAAGTGCTTCAAGATTTCTTGGTTCAGCAAGCAAGATGTCATCTGCATGTTGTTAATGAGCCTTTCTCCAATCCTAGCGCTGCATTCTTCTTCTTGTAGTCCAGCTTCTTGAATTATTTGTTCAGCATACAGACTGATTTTTAAACCACGCTGATTCCCTTGTTTTGTTTGAATGACTGCCTCTTGGGCTACCTACAGCTTCTGCATGAACACAGTAAGTTCTGGAATTTCCATTCTTTAAAATGTCAGCCATAGTTTGTCATGAGCCACACAGTCAAATGCCTTTGCATACTCAACAAAACACAAGTAAACCTCTTTATGGCATTCTCTGCTTCCAGCCAAGATCTATCTGATGTCAGCAATGATAGCCCTCATTCCATGTCCTCTTCTGAATCTGACTTGTATTTCTGGTGATATCGATGTACTGCTACAACTGTGTTTGAATTATCTCCAGCAAAAGTTTTACTTGCATGTGATATGAATGGTATTGTGTGATAATTTCTGTATTCTGCTGAGTTACCTTTCTTTGGCATGGGCACAGAGAGACTAAATCTCTTCCAACTGGTTGGCCAAGTAAGCTAGCTTCCAAATTCTTGGCACAGAGGAGTGAGTGCATCCAGGGCTGCATCACTCAGGTGACAGATCTCAGTCTATAGTCTGTCAATTCCTGGGGCCATATTTTCCAACTGCTGATCCTTGCCCTAGTTTCAACTTTTGTATTCCAACTACCAGTAATAATCAATTTATCTGGATTGCATGTTTGATCAATTTCAGACTGAAGAAATTGATAGGATTTTTCCATTTCTTCATCATTGGCTTTAGTGGTTGGTGCACAAATTTGAATAACAGTAGTTCTTAAGTGGTATTCTTTGTTGTTGTTAGTGCCACTGAGTTGGTTCCAACTCAAAGCAACCCTATATAGGGTTCCCAAGGAGTAGCTGGTGGGTTTGAACTGGTGACCTTATGATTAGTGTTTATCCTACACAAAGACTCCTGGTGCATAGAGATCTCCGATCACTGATAACACTGTATTTCAACATAGACCTTGAATAAGTTCTTTTTGACGATTAATGCAATGCTATTCCTTTTGAAATTGTCATTTCCGGCATAGTCAACCACGACTGCCCAATTCAAAATGGCCTAGAACAGTCCATCTCAGTTCACTAAGGACGAGGGCATCAATCCTTATGTGTTCCATTTCACTTTGGACAACTTCCAGTTTTCCTAGATGTATATTTGTTACATTCCATGTTTTGATTACTAATCAATTATTCCAAAAGCAGAGTTTCACAAAGTCCACGGAAGAATAAAATCATCAGATAATAGCATTTTTACATGAACTCTTTGAAGCCCCCTCTGTATGTGTGTGTATAATGTGTCGTCTTTTTTTTCCATATAGATTTATGTTTTTAGTACAATTTAGAAATACATGCTTTTACGATTATCAAAAGACAGCTGTTCACTGACATTTCAAATAAACAACAATTATTTGTTGGATATTGCAGAGTTAATGCACAAAGAATAATTCTGAGAATGGCCAACTTTCTTTTCTTTTTCTTATGTGTGCTCTCTGCCTCACAAAATAATTTTCTGCTTTGACATGTATTAAATTAGTTGTATGAGTATACCTTTTCATGTTCACAAAAGGTACAGCTGCACAGTTTAGAGAGTTAAAGAACTCTACACCATTGGGATGAAGAGACGCGTTTTACTCTTTCGGTGACTTGTTGAGGTTTAGTCCACTATGTGAACCTGCCAGTTACCCATGTTCAAAGAGAAGACCCCTACAATGTGGCTCTTTTCTCTAGGGCTAGGGCAGTGTCACAGAAGAGTTCTGGCTTCTTTGGAAAGCTCTTGCTGAGAACATAAAACAGAGGACCCGTTAGCTTTCTCCTTGGGGATTCTAGATTTAAAGCCTAGTGAATGCATACAGGGAGACTAGCTGAATCTTCTAAGAGAAGTCCTCAGAACTCAACCAGGCAAACTTTACTTTCGTGACGAAACAGCGGTTTCAGCAGGAGAGTCACACCGAACAGACCTTATGGAGCTTGCCAGTGGAGCATCAATGCTAACTTGGCATTTTTTCTTCTACAATTATAAACATTTATAAACAAAACTGCGAGTTCCTTTTAGAGTACTAGTCAAAAAAATTCAAGGGTAGGCTGGGAAAGCAAATCGTATCATCTTCTTTTACCCTACCTGGACCACCGAGGGCTTCACTCTCCTTATTTTCTGCCTCAATTTCTTTCAGTACTTCAGTTAGGGCTTCCCACTTGGGGTTGCTTTCTAGAACCAGTTCCTTTTTTGTCTCTGTATAGAAACAAGAGATAAACTCATTATATATGATAACATCCATAAGCAGTCCAAAGTTTGTTTGTTTTTTTAAAGCAACGGATAATGTAAGCACCATTCCTTCAGCCCATGCCATTCAGCATTTGTCTTAATGCTGAATAAGGTCTTCTTTCCTGAAAAAGGCCTTACGGTGTGGAGCTGAAGGGTAATACTGCTAACAGTGAGGTCGCTGGTTCAGACACACCAGCTGCTCCTTAGAAACCTTATACAGGGTTGCTATTAGTGGGAACTGACATGATGGCACTTAACAACAATGACATAGTCTTAAGGAAAGAAAAACAAATGCAGGTTTTATAACGCCTTGATAGGAAGTTACTCAGACATTATGCATGGTCAGTGATTTTCTTTGCTGCCAACTGTCACCCCACAGACAGGCTGCTACGTAAAACCCTACATACAGAATTGGTGGAATTGACATGCTTTTCTTTCTGAACACAGATGTGGATAACTGACAAGAAATGAAATTTTTATTTTTTTAAGCATTCAAACAGATCATGAAAATATTTGCTTTGAAATATATCTTTAAGGAAGCAAGAATTAACCCTATCTGTTGCTTTTGCAAACTAACAATATTTAAATACCTACTACTAGATGGTGTTGAAATACAACCCACATTCACTTCAATATTTATACTCATTTAGTTAGAGGGGAAATTAAAAAGTTTCACAACACTTCAAGAGTCAATAACAGGAAATAGTTTGAAGATATATATATGTTGTTGTTGTTACGTGCCGTGGAGTCAGTTCTGACACACAGCGACCCTGTACAGGGTTTCCAAGGCTGTAAATCTTTAAGGGAGCAGAACGCCTCATCTATCTCCCACGGAACAGCTGGTAGTTTCGAACTGCTGACCTTTTAGTTCACAGCGCGATTCGTAACCTCTACGCTACCAGAGCACCTTATATATTATCCTGGAAACCCTATACAGGGTCACTATGGCATGGAACTGACTCGATGGCACTTAATAACAACAACAATAGATACACACACACATACACAAGGAGCTCTGGTAGCGTAGTGGTTACGAATCGGGCTGCGAACCTTAAGGTCAGCAGTTCGAAACTACCAGCTGCTCCACAGGAGAAAGATGAGGCTTTCTACTCCTGTAAAGATTTATACCCTTGGAAACCCTGTACAGGGTCGCTATGGGTCGGAATTGATTCAACGGCACTTAACAACAACAACATACATATACACATAACACACATAGGAGGTGGTGGTGTGTCGTGGAGTCGGTTCTGATTCATACAGACCCTGTATAGGGTTTCCGAGGCTACAAATCTTTATAGGAGCAGAAAGTTTCATCTTTCTCCCATGGAACAGATGGTAGTTTTAACTAGCTGACCTTGAGGTTAGCAGTCTGACTCGTAACCACTACGCTACCAGAGCTCCGTACATATAAACACTTAAATCAATCTATACTTGTTATGTAGCACTGAGAATACTCTGGCATTCGTTATTTGGTGTTCCCTGGCAATGGAGTCTCAGATCTGGCATACTGAATAGTTTTAACATACATTGTACATGTTTGACACAACACACATACATGCATTTTATAAACAGGCATATATTTTTCACGTGATTTAGGAGGTTTTAAATTATACTTGATAAGCATTTCTATAACAAATACAAAAGACATGATTAAAAACTTAAGTCTAAAAGATACCTTGTCCTTCTTTACTCTCCATATTCTCAGACATTTTACTTTTTTTGCTGATTTTGGCATCTGGAACATGATAAACCCTTGCTCGAGCATTTACAAACATTGAGGTACTAGCGTCCAGAAACAGCCAACCTAAGATTAAAAGAGAGAGGAACAAAAGCCTTCAATTTACAATTAAAGTCTCTGGCGGTCACACAACTTATATATACAACTAGTTGCCTTTTTGTTTTCCTACCAACCACCCCTTATCCACTATAAAGGGGCTTCAAAAACTGTAAGGAACAATTCCATTATCTTCTAATTGCATTTCTTCACAGTTTCTGAAGTCCCCCTAGTACTGTGGCCCTTCTCACTGTTAGGCTAGTGCTTTCAAAGTGTTGTCCATAGATCCCCGTGGGTCTCGAATGTCATAGTAAGACTAAGACATTATTTGTCTGCTTTCACTTTGGTGACATTTCCAGCGATGGCACAAAACCAAATCAAGACAGTGGCAACAAACTGGACAATGCCACCTTCCCTGCCCAGCATTGTGGATGAAAAAATAAGCCAGTTTCACATCAGAACGCCTGTGATGACGTAGCAGAAAAGGACGACTTGTGTTAAATCTTCAACCCTGAGCCTGGATCTCAGCAGCGTTTGGTGTGACGAGCTGGCAAGTCCACACAACACACGTTCTGAAGTGGACTGGTCGAGACGAGGAAGAGCACTTGTGTGGCTGTGAATCATGCTGAGCTAGCCAGTTTGTCATGGAACACCAATTGTACTCGAAAGAACCAACGACAGAAAAACCGTGGTTACTCAGACTTGGTATTTGGAAGATGTTTTCCCAAAATGAACAAATTGAGCATTTCAAGGAATACAACTGACAGTATTTGTTGCCAATGATGAAAAAGTCTAGCTTTCAAGGGAAAATCTAAATTTTGGAGCGTTTACATCTGCCACTGTGTGCCTGGAAGCACCTGGTAGTCAAAGACTTTTCTGGTGAGATGAGCGATGACAACAACACAGGTGATTTTTTGATGTTAATAATGAAATGTGTCAACATTTGGAAGGAGCTACATAACCCCGTGAGCCAGTATTTTTCCCAAGACCAATGCACGGAGTTACCGAATCACCTAAGGGTAAAAGGCACAATTACATGGCAAGATAGCCCAAGGGATTTTAATGTAACAGAAGAAGAGAAGCTCACTGATATGCTTTCCGAGTCCACACTGCAACTAATCTGGAAGAAAAAGTTGTCAAGATTTGGTGTAATATCAAAGAAAACCCACAATAATTTGAAAAGGTTACAAAATACACTCCTTTTTCCTAACCACACATATATGTAGGAGGTTGGATTATCTTTATGTTCTCCAACCAAAATCCCCTTTGAAAGTCAAGTGATTGCAGAAGCAAGTATGAGACCAACTGTCTTCAATTAAGGCAGACATTAAAGAGATGTGCAAACCTGAAAAGGAATGCCACTCATCTCAATAATTTTTCAGTATTGATAAATATATTTCTCATAAAAATGTTATTTTTTAATGATGTAGTAATAATAGGTTTATTGTTGCTATGTTCAAAATTAATTACTAGTTTTTTAAAATGTCTGATTCATTTCCTAATATGATAAATACTAATACACAGAATTCACATAAACAAAGCTCTTTGGGTCCTCACTGATTTTAAGAACGTGAAGGGAGTCCCAAAGACTTGCTAGGCTGCATGAGTCTTTCTCACTTTGATTTCCCTGTAAGTCTCTTTTCCTTCCTCTCCTTAGTCCTTGACATTCTCTAGCTGATGAAGTCCCAAGCTCCCCTTGCTGTTTCTTTGGGAAAAAATGAATTTTAAGTTAATCACTATGCTTTCAGAATGTAAACTATTCCTAAATTGGGGACTGCCTGTACTACACAGTCTTTCCTAGAAATAAAATGGTTGGAATGGATATGAATATTTATGATTACACAAAACAGAAGTGAAGTAGGCGGAAATATTAGCTATCAATAAAACCTACATCCTCTGAACATAAAACCGAATTTGAAGTCTTAGTATAGCTTGCTGTTGAGTATAGCACTCCTCACACCTGATTCCCCAATAAGATCCAACGCTTCATGCAAATCAGTTCCTAGACTAAGATTGCTATTTTGATCTCCCACCTGAATTCTGACCAAAAGCCTTCTCAGTGGCTCTCAGAGACTCCAGAAGATTCAGAAAAGTAACACAATCATATTGAGAGAGATATTGCAGCAAAGTCCGCAGGATCTTCAAGTCCTGGACCAGGGATTTCGTCTTGGCCCCAAGCTGGTGCCACAAAGGGTCCAAGTAGTGGCGGATTGTCTAAAGCAAAAGTAACATTTAGTACTATGGAAACACATTATAGCTACTCTTGATAAAAATTTTATTTCTAAAAACTAAGTAGATAGAAAACTTCAGTTCATTAGAGCCTAATCAAAATGTTCAATTTAAAGCAAAATCTCACAGCTGGAATGTTTTTTTGTTTGAGTTAGTTTATAACTGCCCACATTATTTGGAAACAAAAAGACCACATAAAATAACAAATAATCAACTATTTGATTTTTATGAACAGAATTTAAAGTATGTACCTCAGACACATGTAATTCCTGCCACGTTTGGCAGACTGTCCTGCATGGCCACCACTTGTGTGTGTCAGTTTGTCATACTGTGGTAGCCTGTGTGAGGCTGTGAGCTAGGGTCACACAAGATGGTCAGGTGTGAGCAGAGCTTTCAGATGAAGACAAACTAGGAAGGAGAGGTAAATCTCTTATAAACAGCAGTGGAACACTGTCTGATATAGAGTTGGAAGATGAGCCCTTAAAATAGGACTGGGGAAGAGTTGCTTCCTCAAAGTAAAGTGGACCTTAATGACGTGGATGAAGCAAAGTTTTTGGACTAAAAATGAAAGGAAACAGCTGCAAACATCTGTTTATAACTGGACTGTGGGAGGTACAAAGTAGGAATCTAAGGAAATTCGATGTTTCTCAAAAATGAAATGGAAAACATAAAGATCAATATCCAAGGCATTAGTGAGCTGAGCTGTATTGGTACTGGCTCTTTTGAATTTGGTGATCGTATAGTTTACTATGCCAGGAACGACAAATTGGCAAAATAAATGTCAAGTTCTATCTTGATGTGTTAATATCCATATGAGCACAAGAAGACCAATGGATAGTGTTCCTTCTCAATGTACATATCAATCACTAAAGCCAAGGATGAAGAGACTGAAGAAGTCTACCAACTTCAGTCTGAAACCGATCAAACATGCAATCGAGATACCTTTGATAATCACTGGTGATTGGAATGTGTAAATTGGAAATGAAGAAGGATCGGTAAGTGGAAAGAATGGCACAGACAGAAATGATGCTGGGGATCTCGTGATAAAATTATGCAAGACCAATGACTTACTCATTACAAACAGCTTTTGTTAACAACTTAAATGGCAACTAAACATGCGGACCTCACCAGATGGAATATTCAGGAATCAAACTGACTACATCTGTGGGAAGAGATGATGAAAAATCTCAGTATCATTAGCCAAAACAAGGCCAGGGGCAGACTATGGAATAAACCTTTAATTGCTAATATATGAGTTCAGGATGAAGCTAAAGAAAATGGAAACAAGTCCATAAGAACCAAAATATGACCTCTGGTACACCTGATCTGAATTTACAGAACATCTCAAGAAGAGATATGACATATTGGACACTAACACTAATGACCTACAAGACCAGAGGAGTTATGGGATGACATCATACATGAAGAAAGCAAAAGACCAGGAAAGCAAGAAAAGGCCAAAGTGGATGTCAGAAGAGACTCTGAAACTTACTCTTGAACATGGAGTAGCTAAAGCAAATGAGAGAAATGAGGAAGTCAAAGAGCTGAACAGAAGATTTCAAATGACTGCTCAAGAAGACAAAGTATTGGACCAATAGAGAACATCATTAGAAACAGAGAAAAGATTAAACTTGTCAAGGATTTCATTTTACTTGGATCCATAATCAATGTAAGCAGCAGTCAAGAAATCAAGTGATTTCTTGTAGTGGGCAAATCTGTTGCTATAGAATTCTTTAAAGTGTTAAAGAGCAAAGATACTATTTTGAGGACTAAAGTACACTTGATCTAAGCCATGGTATTTTCAATATGCATGTTAAAATTGAACAATGACTAAGGAAGCCAGGAGAAGATCTGACGCCTTTGAACTATAGTCCTGGCAGAGAATACTCAACCTATCATGGAGTTCCTGAAGAACCTTTCCTGTTTTGGAAGAAGTATGACCAGATTTCTCCTGAGGAGCAAGGCCAGGGACACTTCCTCTCTCCTACTTTGGAATCATTATAGGAGGAACCAGTCCCAGAAGAAGGAAGGACATCATGCTTGGTAAAGTGGATGGTCAGCGAAGAAGGGAAAAACTCAATGAGACCAACTGACAAAGTGGGTGTAACAACAGGCGCACACAAACCCACCATTGTGCAGATGGTGCAGGGTTGTATACAGGGTCACTAGGGGTCAGAAGCTACCCAGCAGCACCTAGTAACAACAATCCTGGATGGATGAATATGTGGGACCCAGTGAGGCCATACTTCTTCCAAAACAGGAAACACTCTTCACACAGTCTATGATATACTGAGTATTCTCTGCCAGGACGATAGTTCAAAGGCTCTTCTCTTCAGCTCTTCTCCTGCTTCCTTACTTGTTGTCCAATTTTAGTGTCCTTAATGAAAATACCACATGGAAAATACCGTGGCTTGGATCAGGCTCACTTTAGTCCTCAAAAAATATATGTGGGACACAGTGGGGCCATGGAATCCTGGTGTGGCACTGTGGGTTAATGCGCTGGACTGCAAAGTCGTTTGAACCACAAGGTTGGTGGTTCAAGCTCTCCAGTCACTCCTTGGAAACCCTGTACAGGGTCGATATGGGTGGGAACAGACTTGATGACACTTAACAACAACAGTGGGGCCATGGAGCAGGCATAAAACAGAAAAACAACAAGGTGTCAAATTAAATAAAGATGTTCCTGAATTTGTTGGTGTTAAAAATGTGTTCACCTTTTTTTTTTTTAATAAAAGTGTGCTTCATGGGTGGGAAGATATTAAATTTAAAAAATTGTGTTAAGTTTCAACATTTTTAAGACTCAAAAAATTGCCCAGAACAAGTCTTGCTTGATATGTCTCTATATGCTACACACACACACACACACACATATATACTACATGTTGTTGCTCTTAAGGCCACTGAGTAGCTTCTAATTAATGATGACCCACGTGTGTCGAGTGGCAGTACCCTCCAGGGGTCTCGAGCCCTGACTGTGGAAACAGATCACCAGGCCCGTATTCTGAGGCACCTTTGGGTGGGTTTGAACCTCTAGCCTTTTGGCAAGTAGTCGAGCATGTAATAGTTTGTGCCACCGGGAACCCCTATATACATACTATCTAGGTATTTATACATTCATGGCTACAAATATACATAGGTGCTGAATACATATACCCAATTTTCCACAACACGTTTAATATCCAGCAGGAGTGCTAACATTTGGATGGTTCTGTCATGTACTGTCCAAACTGGACACATGTGAAGACGAAAGGAAACACTAGTAATGATTTCTCCAGGACAACAGGGGGCCACCGGGCCCATCCTGATACATCAGAATGTCTGATGCTGTAGGATAAGCACTGGCCTGCAAAACCGGTTTAAATGACAAGGTTGTTGGCTCAAGCTCATCAGCTGCTCTTCAGAAACCCTACAGAGGGTCATTATGAGTTGGAACTGACTTGACTGCACTTAACAACAACAAAACATACTATAGCTTCTTGCCCTTTTTCAGATCACACAAAGATCTAACAAGATGCAAGCTGTGTTTGTTCAGATTTGGTGACTAAGAAAATACCTAAACTAATACTGGTAGCGTAGTGGTTACGAATCGGGCTGCGAACCTTAAAGTCAGCGGTTCGAAACTACCAGCCGCTCCACGGGAGAAAGATGAGGCTTTCTACTCCCGTAAAGATTTACACCCTCGGAAACCCTGTACAGGGTCGCTATGGGTCGGAACCGACTGGACGGCACTTAACAACAACAACAATACTGTAACTTTACTACCCAGGGTACGACAAAGAGCACCTCAAAGCCAAACTGATTAAGCTATTGTTGTCATTATATGCATATTTATTTAGTTCTTCTAGGAACATATTCATTCCATTAAAGTTTTTGCTGTGGCGCTGTGGGGTAAGCTCTGGACTGCACACTTGGCCACCTGGCGGTGGCTCCCTCAAACTCACCAGCTGCTCCTCAGAAACTCTATACAGCGTCACTATGGGTTGGACCCGACTCGATGACAACAACAACAACAGTATACTCAATGATAATAAAGTTTTACACCGAGAGGAGCAGACTTTAGGAAATCATTTACTGATGTTGTTAGGGTCAGTTTCAATTCACAGAGACCTCGTATAGGGTTTCTGATGAGCATCTGGTGGCTTTAACTGCTGATTGTGCTTCACAGTCCATATTTCACAGTAAAGTGACTTGTTGAAAGAAACTAAATGCCCTGAGAAATAAGGAGTCATAATTTTCCTTTTTAAATTGCTGTGATTTATTTCCAATAACAAATTATTCAGAGTTCCAAAGGTAGGAACTTAAACTACCAAATAATGAAAGAAAAAAAAAAAAACTTAGCCTGAAAATTTACTAGAAGTCAGCACTTTCTGGATCTACAATGATATTTTAGACACTTACCTGTCAGTATTAATATTAATCTATGGCGGGAAAAAAAATCTGTGAAACTAAAATTCCCTAGAACTAAATTCTTATCATTTTCTCAATTCATACAATAATTTTAAGACACAGCTAAGTTTTATATTACTCAGTAATGAGAACTCATCCAAATGATATTTACTCCCCAAAAGATCATAAATGAGTAAACAATTATGGCATATTATTACATAAAACTCTTCTATCTACAGTTACTCAAATATTGCCACTTCACAGCAAAAGGTTATTTACCCTGCTCAGAAGTACACTTACAATATTCACTTACTGTATTATTGCAAAAGCAGTTAAGCTTATGAGCCGATCTACATTTTGCACTAAAAATTATTATTTTCTAGCAACCCAAAGAAGCTATACATCAAATAACTTCCAACTTAATTCTAAAATAACAGCAAGTTTTTATTAAGAACCTTGTAAATATGAAAATAACGTGCAGCCTCGAAAATGAAAGCATAACTGTGCTTAAGTAAAACAGGGCACCTTGTCAAAAGGTTTTCCAATGGCATTTTCTAATGATAAATCTTCGACTTCGAGCGATGGGTTGTGGCCCTTTAGTTCTTTCAGGCACGCATTTAAGATGTCCAGGACAGCAGTCTGTATGGCCAGCATGGCAGGCGTCATCGAAACATGAATTTCTACCACTTCAGGCTTGTGCTGTTCCAGAAACGAGTGAACTGCTACATGGAACCTAAGAGACAAATATTTTTCAAACGTTTTCTAGAGTTTCAATAGTGAGGTATTTCTAATCTCAGGAGAAATCAACTTATAGCTTTTGTGAAGTTAATTAAGAGACAAACAAAATGGAAAGCAAAATGTCGATGTCCCCAAGAACACACGTAACTTTAATGAATGGAAGTATTGCTCAAATAAGGCAGGGGTCAGCAAACGCCGGTCTGGGCCAAAGCCAGTCCTTGTTTTCAGAACCAGAGTTACGGGAACAGCGCCCCACCCATTCCTTACCGAACGGTTTGTCTGTGTTCCTGCTACCACAGCCAAGTGGAACAATTGGGACCGTCCACACCGCCTATAAATCATTACTATCTAGCCTTTTACAGGAGGCGTTTGCTGACTCCTAAAAGAAGGTATAATCAAGACAGAAAAAAGACTACAGCAACTATCCTTACACTGTTGTCGTTGTTAAGTGCTGTCGAGTTGATTACGACTCACAGCCACCCTGTATGGGGTTTCTGAAGAGGAGCTGGAGGGTTTGAACTGTTTTGAAGCCCACATCAGGAGTCCGAATCTTTATGGGAGTAGAAAGCCTCATCTTTCTTCCTTGGAGTGCTTCAAAGTGCTGACTTTTCAGTTAGCAGGCCTCCTCCTAATCCACTAAGCTACCAGGGCTCCTGCAAAAAAGCTTGCAGCACCCAGGAATCGAACCTGGGTTGCAAGAACAGGAATCTTGCATGATACCACTACACCAGCGGCACCCTTATCCTAACATAAAAGGATTGAAATATGTACTAGCGCAAGCTGCAGAAATGTTTAAAAATAGAAACCTTAGGTCATCCCTAAAAATTAACTTAAGCTGTTCAGAGTCTTCATGCTCGATTTCCCTGATGGGTCGTTTTCAAAGTGGAAGTGAAATGGGCTGTTCAGCTAAAGCGGTTGGCTATATGGGTCTCCAGATCCCTGAAGGCTGTACTAAATGACCAAGAAAGAAGAAGGTGGCCATCTCAGATGAGCTGGGCAGATTACCAAGTCGGCAGTTCACACCCACCAGCCACTCCTCGGAAATGCTACACAGGGTCGCTATGCGTTGGAACTCAATGGCACTGAATAACCACTACCAGAAAATAGCTGTCAGTCCTTTTTCTCCTTTCAAAACAAAAATCACAAACATGGTGATCATGTATTTCTATTTGGGTGTGTCTGTTAAACTCAGACTGGTGACAGTGGTTGTATGCCGAGGAGTCAGTTCAGACTCAGAGAGACCCAGACTGTATAGGGTTTCTGAGGCTTTAAATCTTGATAGGAGCAGAAAGCCTATCTTTCTCCTGCGGAACGTTTAGTAGTTTTCAACTGCTAACCTTGAGGTTAGCAGCTGGACTAGCATCTCTCAAAAGTATAACTAAACATGAAAGTACAGAACCTTTCAGAGAAATCAGCCACCTCATGTAATTTCCTGTTTACCTTGGCCACAGGTAGAGCTTCCTTACAAACAGATTTCTCATCACTCTTTCCACGTGACAAAAGCCAGTATCAAAGGCAACTGCGTTGTCTGTGAAAGCTTTAATGAAACCACGTTTGTTTTTCTGGCGAAAGAGGCGCAAGATGAATGCTTCTTGACAAGATTCGATTATTCTGTGAGCTCTATACACCAAGATACCTGGGGAGCAAAAGTACAAATTACATGAGAGAAAAGACACAGGAATCTCCTGCTTTTTTTGTTTCATCCTTCCATTCAACCAACCATTTTTCCATAAGTGCTTACCTGAGCATGACCCAGCACCCCAACCCACACACATCCCTGCCCTCATGGGACTCACAACAGTTAGTAGGTTTGCAGGTGCTAAATGCTCACGAAAACAAATGCATCAGAGAAGGAGTGAGTGCCTATGAAGGGTGGTGACCTGTGCTTTTGGTCTGGGTCACCTCGTTGAGGTGACAGTTTTGAGTCAAGTCTTGCTGGCAGAGATTGTGAGTTTTAACACGTGAACAGAGAGAGCTCCAGGCTGAGGACATCACCACAGGTGGGGGCCTGCCGAGCACATGGGGGAAGAGTACCTTAAAGTGAAGTGGGCCACTCCTTTTCTTTTATGTATGTATGAGATGTTGTTGTTGTTAAGTGCCACTGAGTCAGTTCCAACTCACAGCAACCCTGTGTAAGGTTTCAGAGGCTGTAAATCTTTGCAGAAGCAAAAACCTCAGCTTCCTCCCATGGAGCAACTGGTGGGCTTGAACCACCAACCTTGTGATTTGAAGTCCAGTGCTTATCCTATGGAGCCATTGCACTCAAGTGTTAGATGTTGTTAGGTGCCATCGAGTCAGTACCAACCCATAGCGACCTTATGCACAGCAGAATGAAACATTGCCCGATCCTGGGCCAACCTCACTACTGTCACTACTGTTGCCACGCTTGAGTCCATCAATGCTTCCACTTGGCCAATCCATCTCATTGGAGGGCCTTCCTCTTTTTCTCTGACCCTCCATCTTACCAAACATGATATCCTTCTCCAGTGACTGGTCCCTCCTAACAATATGCCCGAAGTATAAGAGACGAAGTTTGGCCATCTTGGCCTCCAAGGAGCACTCTGGCTGCACTTCTTCCAACCTATCTGTTTGTTCTTTTGGCAACCCATGACACTTTCAATATTCTCCTCCAACACCATAACTCAAATGCATCAATTCTTCTATGGTCTTCCTTATTCACTGTCCAGTTTTCACATGCATATGAGGTTACTGAAAATACCATGGCTTGGGTCAGGCGCACCTTAGTCCTCAAGCTGACATCCTTGCTCTTCAACACTTTCAAAACGTCTTGTGCAGCAGATTTGCCTAATGTTAGATGTAGACTACAGAAAATTGCTGCATTTTAGAAGTATGGGCAACATTTGTGTCATCTATTAGATTAACTCAGTTTTTAGGATTGGAGTATATTCAATTGAGAGGTATCTTAGTTCATTTAAAATAAAAACAATGGGATGATACCCACAAATATATACAGATTTGACAGAGGATATTTCATTTACTTAGGCTACAAATCTACCCATGAATATAACACTAAAGGAAAAGCTTTTAATGACTATATTCAATATGACTGCCCCACCCCCGTGGGTACAATGGTATCTCTGAATTACATGCAAAAAAGACAATGACAAACGAGTTTCCTTCACAAAATCAGTACTGGCTGAGGTGGTCGTTACTACACTCAACAAATGGTCACCACATGGTGACAGGCTGTGATGTCTGCCCTGAAAGAGCTACCGGAAAGGCAAGCGTAAAGATACACCGTGACTAGTGACAAATGAGGGACACTCATGATGCCAAAGGGTGCTGTCTCAGTTCTAGATCTAAGAGACAATTATTCAATTCTCACCTTCTCACCCTGAAGATTTCAATCTAGTCAGTTACTTACTTTATAGATATATTTGCCACAAAAGTACTTGTAAGCTTCTCTCCAGTCCTTATCACTCTTAGGTTCTGAAAAACGGTATTAATAGTAATATATGAGCCTTCTTTTTGTCTGTTGCTGTTAAGTGTCGCCAGGTTGGTTCTGACCCATAACGACTCTGTATAGGGTTTTCGAGGAGCAGCTGGTGGATTTGAACCACTGACCTTAAGATCCAGTGCATTATCCTGCAGTACCACAACAGGACTCCATGAACCATCAAGGAGTTCAAAATACTCAATTCATATTCTCCTAATTTGGTGCTTGAAATTTTGGACAAAGAGGATGGAGGACAAATGCACCTTAGCTAAGCAAAAAACTCTTTAATTATGCTAAAATGAATAGTAATTTAGCAATTTGCAGACAGAGAATTTTCAGTAATCCACAAAACCCACATACCACTAGGTTCCGACGCAGAAAATGCTGTTTATCTAGGAGGCTGGTTTTCCAATGAGTCTACTGGTTCACACTTAGCTAGCCTAGGTTGAAATACTGCTTTGGGTTTAAATATCATCAAGTCAGTTTCCAAGGAGCAGCTTATGAGTTTGAACCGTCAACTTTATGGTTCAAACCGACCTTGAGGTTCAGTGCTTGCTTAGCTTACAGCGCCACACAAGGACTCTGAAATATTGTCTAGAGTTAAAAGACAGTAAAAAAAGGGTGTCTAAAAAAATGAACAAAACAAACCTCAATTTAAGAAAATGTGTTCTAAAAGGTTAAGTCTTTTTTTTTTTTTAGAACCAAGAACTAAAACTCTCTTCCAAACACTGGATTAGATTGCCTTATAGGTTTCATTTCATTTAATCCTCAAACTGATTCTTGGAGTACGTAGTATTATGACTTAAGGAGTTCTGGTGGTGCAACGGGTTAAGTGCTGGCTGCTAACGGAAAGGTCAGTGGTTCAAGCCTACCAGCCACTCTCTGGGAGAAAGATGAGTTGTGCTTCTGTAAGGACTAACAGCGTTGGAGAGCCTATGGGGTAGTCCTATTCTGTCCTATAGGATCACTGGGAATTGGGATTGACTGAAGGGCAGTAGCTTTTTACTTCATTATTACAGCTCAAACCCACCACCAATCATGCTGACTTAGGACCAGGCAATGGTGTGCTGTGTTATCCACAAGGCGACCATGAGGTGGCGCTGACTCAACAGCAACGCCTAGGAAAGGAAGTACACTGACCAAGGTCAGTGTGAAAACGGGAAATGGGACACCAGACTCCACATCATGTCTGTCTAAATGCAAAGCCATGTTCTTCCTACTAAATGGCACCACCTAAGGACCCCACTTGAAAACAAACACCAACACAAAGGAAACAAATAGCCCTATAAGCAGGTGAGGTGTGGGGGAGCAATGCTGGTCACACAGAAGCCCACTGCAAGTTTTATGCTTCCATCCCATTTTGTACCCCAGTGTGATACAGAGGGTTTTCATTGGCAGACTTCTTAGAAGTACATCACCAGGTCTTTCTTCTTAGTCTCTCTACATCTGGATGTTCCACTGAAACCAGTTCAGCTTCAAAGCAACAGGCCAGCCTCCAATGATTGACGATGGGGGCTGGGAACCCAAACCAGATCTCTGCCTTGTTGATAAGAGCTGCCGAGTTGGTTCTGACTCATAGTGACCCTGTATAGGGTTTCCAGGAGTGGCTGGTGAGTTTGAGCTGATGACCTTGTTGTTCACACTGACCTTACTGTCCAGTGCTTATCCTACAGTACTACACCAGGGCTCTTCTGCACTGGAGGTAAACATTCTACCAGGGGACCGCTGAGGCCTTCTTTTGCATTGAATACATCTCTGTACTGTGTGATTACCTCTTTACACATCTGTCTCCTTTACTAACTGCTGGAAGACAAGAATATCTGTGGGTTAATGCGCTGGACCGCCAACTAGGTTTGAACCATAAGGCTGGCAGTTCAAGCTCACCAGTCGCTCCTCAGACACTATGTACTGGGTCGCTATGAGTTGGAGCCTATATGATGGCACTTAACAACAACAATAACAATGTGGCGTTGTGGGTTAATGCGCCAGACTGCAAAGGTGTTTGAACTGCGAGTCTGGTGGTTATATAGGGGGGTCGAAATTGACTCAACGGCACTTAATAACAACGTAATATTAAGCATTTTGTATACATTACCTCATTCCACCCTAAAAATAATCCTAGAATGAAGGTACTATTCCTGTCAGCAGTTTACAGATGAATAAACTGAGGCATAGAGAAATTGAATAATTTCGTGCTTGGTGAAAGTGAGTTCAAGCTCAGAAATAGTCTAATGTAAGTGCTCACTAAACTGTCCTGTTCATCTCTCTATCTTCAGTGCATAGAACACTCCTGCTCAAAAGATTTTTATTAATTGTTCTATGAATGAATATAAACTAAAACAACCTCTAAATGTACTATCACTGAGTCAATGCCAAGTCCTAGCAACTCTACAGGGAAGAAGAGCAATTCTATAGGGCAGAGAGCAATTCTATACGGCAGAGAGCAACTCTACAGCAAAAGGCTGTCAACCCTTACGGAAGGAGACAGCCTCACCTTTCTCCTGCAGAGTGGCTGGTGGGTTTGAACCACCCACTTTTTGGTTAGCAGCCTAATGAGTTTGCCCTCACTGGGCCACCAAGGCTCCTTAGCCCGGGTACACACATCTTTTTCCCCCCTATTTCTAGGAGAATGAAATCTATCTGGAGATGTTGGGGTCAATTCCAGCAATGAAGGCACCCCCTTCTTCGGGTTCTTCAGGAAGACTGATCTGGGCAGACGTTGACCCAGTTCTCCCACCAGTTCAGAGTTCTTGTGTTCAATGAGATGACACAAAGTGGGTATGAATTGTGGAATGGGAGCTGACCTGCTCCTTAGACCATCACCTAATTCACAATAAGAGTTAAAAAAAACCTTCCGATGGGCAGGGACACGGAAGGTAGGCCATTGTCGTGAAGACATGAGGGGCTTCAGAAAAGTGTGTGGAAAAGGGGAATGAAAAGTTAATGGTACTTCTTCATGAACATTCTGTACTTGGGTGGTGGCAGGTGAACAAGTTAAAAGTTGGGGAGTCCGTGGTTTCCGATGGTTCCATGTTTCAGGGACCACTCTTGGATCTGCACATTTTAGGGAAGTAGAAAGAGAGTTTGAAGGGAATCACAGCTGGCAACACTGACTGCTCCAGCTCCATTACTGGTTTGGACTCTTATCAGAAACAAGGATGAACTTTATACAATTTCAATGACAGGACTCTGTGTAAACTGTATCCCTTCAGATTGCGCTTTGCCTCACAAGGCTGAACTATAAATCAAAGTCCCTAGGTAATACTGACATCTAGTGGTAGTTTCAATACAATGACTTTTTCTCACTGGATCAGCTGAAAAATGAAATAAAAATAAAGCCAAGCTTTTAGGAAAGTCACAGAGAGCGAAAGGCTTTACGATGTCTAAGGATTTCTTTCTAAGAAAGGCATTACTTTTTATTTTGCTCTCACTTTATGCTAAGCATCCTTATATGACGTAGACTACATGTGAATTTAGAGACTATCTCCTGAACAGATTTGGCCTACTGGACACTAATGACCAAAGACCAGAGGAGTTTTGGGATGTCATCAAGAACCTCATGCATGAAGAAAGCAAATGGTCACTGAAAAGGCAGGAAAGAAAGAGAAGGATGTCAGAATAGACTCTGAAACTTGCTCTTGAACATGAATTAGCTAAAGAAAATGGAAAAAAGGACGAAGCCAAAGAACGGAGCAGAAAATTTCAAAAGGCAGCTTGAGAAAACAAAGTTAATTATTAGAATGAAATGTGAAAAGACCTGAAGTTAGAAAATCAAAAGGGAAGAACCCAGTCAGCATTCTCAAGTTGAAAGAATTTAAGGAAAAATTCAATCCTCCACTTGCAATATCGAAGGATTAGATGGGCAAAATATTGACTGATGTAGAAAGCATCAAAAGAAGAAGATACATACACAGAATCAATGTACTAAAAAGAAATGACTGAGATGTTCATCCTCTTCAAGGGATAGCATCTGATCCCAGAACTGAAGGTTTTGAAGGAAGAAATCCAAACTGCATTGAAAGTATTGGCGAAAAACCCCAACAAAGCTCTAGGAATTGATGGAACACCAAGTTAAAATATTTCAAACAAACTGATGCAACGCTGGAAGCACTCACTAGCCCATGAAAAGACTTTAGAAGTCAAACTATCTGGCCAACTGATCAGAAGAGATCCAGACTTGTGCCCATTACAAACAAAGGTGACCTGACAGAATTATCGAACAAGATCAATAATAACAAATTCAAGTAAAATTTTGCTAAAGATAATTCAGAAATGGTGGTAACAGCACATCTATAGGGACCTCCAGAAATTCAAGCTGGATTCAGAAAATGACATGGATGAAGACCATCACTGCTGACATCAGATGGAGCTTTGGTGAAAACAGAGAATACCAGAAAGATGTTGATGTGTGCTGTGATGACTATGCAAAGGCATTCCACGGGTGGCTCACAGTGAACTATGAATAACATCACAAAGAAGGAGAATGCTAGAAACCTTAGGTGTGCTCATTCAGAGTCTGTGCACAGGCTGGAGAGCAAGGGATACGGAATGTTTTAAAATCAGGAAAGGTGTTCGCCAGGCTGATGCTTTCACCATCCTTCTCAATCTTACGTTGTTGCTGTTGCGTGCCATTGAGTCAGTTCCAACCCACAGAGACACTGTATAGGGTTTCCAAGGAGCTGCTGGAGAGTTTGAATCACAGACCTTGCGGTTTAAAGTGACCTTGCGGTTAAGCACATTATCCCACAGCACGAATTCAATCTGTATGCTGAGCACATAATCCAAGAAGCTGGACTACCTGAAGAAGAACACAGCTTCAGAATTAAAAGCAGGCTCATGAGCAACTTAAGATATGCAGATGACACACCTGTTTTGCTGAAAGCCAAGAGGACTTACTTACTGATGAAAATCAAAGAATAGACTAGCCTTCAGTGTGGATTACAACTCAAATGTACAGAAAACAAAAATCATTTTAAGTGGACCAAAAGAGACCATCATGATACAAAATGACACAAGCTGTCAAGGATTTCATTTTACTTGGGTCCACAATCAATGCTCATGGAAGCAGAAGTCAAGTAATTCAATGACGTATTTCATTAAACAAATGTGCTGCACAAGACCTTATTTTGAATCATAATGACTCTACAGGATCGAAACGAACCATCCATAGGGTTTCCAAGGGTATAATCTTTACAGAACCACTGCCAGTGAGCTGACTCTTACTCATTACAATTCTAGAGGAAAGAGCAGAACTGCTCCACTGGTTTAAATCTCTGTGGACAGGCTTTAAATCTCTGCCTTGTTTTTCCCCCAGGGAGTGGCTGATGGGTTTGAACCACTGACTTTTCAGCTAGTCCAACGCTTAACCTGTGGCATCACCACAGCTCCTGCACAAAGCCCAAGAGGCAGTTGTTGGAACACAACAAGGGGCGATTGTGTGGTTTAAAATCAGGAAAAGTGTGAGTCAGGGCTGCAGACTGCCACCATATTTATTCAATCTACATGCTGAGCAGATAATCAAGAAGCTGGACTGTACGTGAGGAAGAATGCAGCATCAGGATTAGAGGAAGATTCATTCACAACCTGTGATATACAGAGAACCCAAACTTGCTTGCTGAAAGTGAGGACTTGAAGAACTTACGGAAGAAGATCAAAGACTATAGACTTCAATATGGATTATACCTCAAGACAAAGAAAACAAAATTCTTCACAAGTGGGCCAACAAGCAACATCACGACAAATGGAAAGATTGAAATGACCACGGATTTCATGTTACTTGAACCCACAAACAACACCTATAGAGTAGTAGCAGCAAATCAAATGATGTACTGCATTGGGCACATAAACTGCAAAAGATTTCTTTAAAGTGTTAAAAAAAAGCGCAAAGATGTCACTCTGACAAGTAAGTAAGCTGCGCCTGGCCCAAGTCATGGTATTTTCAATTGCCTTATATGCATGGTTAGCAACAACAACAACAACAACAACAACAACAACAACATGTGCATGCTGAGGAGCCCTGGTGGCACAGTGTCTTAAACACTGGGCTGCTAACCATATAGTCAATGGTTTAAACCCACCAGCTGCTCCGTGGGAGAAAGCTGAGTCTTTCTGATCCTGTGTAAGTTTATAGTCTCGTAAGTCCTATGGGGCAGCTCTGCATGGCCGGGTAGGGTTGCTATGAGTTGGAACTGACTTGACAAAGCTGGACAATGAACAGAGGATCAAAGAAGAATGGATGCATTTGAATGATGGTGTTGGAGAAGAATACTGAGCATGCCATGGACTGCCAGAAGAACAAACCAATCTGTCTTGGAAGAAGTGCAGCTAGGATGCTCCTTAGGAAGCCAGGATGGTGACTTCGTTTCTCATACTTTGGACATATTATCAGGAGAGACCAGTCTCTGGAGAAGGACATCATGCTTGGTAAAGTAGAGGGTCAGTGGAAAAGAGTAAGATCCTCAAGGAGATGGACAGATACAATGGAGCAACAATGAGTCCAACATAGTTAAGGACTGCAGGCTGTTTTGTTCTGTTGGATTCAGGGTTGCTATGCGCAGGAAGCCAGTGACATCACCTAACAATTATTATAGATGCAGGCTGCTGTCAGACTTTTCTCCCACAGAGATGCTAGTAGGTTCAAACCTTTGATTAGCAGTCAAGTGCTTTATAACTGTGCCACAGGCTAAAACTAAAAAAAACCCAAACCCACAGTCATCGAATCAATTCCAACTCACAAAGGCCCACTAACATAGAGCAGAACGGCTGCCTAGGGTTTCTGAGGTTGCCCTGGTGTGGTGCTGTAGAATAAGTACTGAACTGCTAACCACAAGGTCAGCAGTTCAAACCTATCAGCATCTCCTCGGAAATCCTACATAGCTATGAGACGGAACCGACTTGATGGCACATAACAACAACCAATGCTTACAGAAGCAAACTGCCTCATCTTTCTCCTATGTTGTTCCCACGGAAGTCCTACCAACAATGGCAGATTCCTGCCATCCTTTTCTCCCAAAGTGAAGTTGGAGGGTTCAAACCACCTATCTTTTGGTTAGCAGCTTAATCACTGCACACCAGGGCTAAGCATTTACTAAATATGAGCTTAGTTAAAGTCAACCTTAGAATATTTATGAAACATTTATGATGTGTTACGTACTGTACTAAAGGCTGGGAACATGACATTGTAAAAAAAAAAAATCCAATGCTGCCCGCAAGAAGATTCTAGTTTAGAACTGAGGGAAGGAAACACACACACACACATACTCACAAAAAAGTGCCTATGTACATATAAATGATGTTTTCAAAATTCTTACCAGTAATTAAATCTGATGGTATTCTATTGGTCAAGAAATCAACCACGAGTATTCGGCTTGTTGCAAATATAACACCGCCTTGTGTGTAAACTTCGTATCGACTGTTACTTGCAATTTCATTTGTTACGCGGCGAGGGAGGTGGTCAACCCCTTCCAGCTTCAGCTGACTAATAAAATACTCCTAAACCAAACCAAATTTGGTTAGTAGGCTGTTTCAAACAGGACGGGTATTTACAATAACGGCTGTCTTTCTCGGAAATAATGAACTTAGTTAACATAAACACATAATATAGGTCACTAAGGAGCTCTGGTAGGGTAGTGGTTATGAGTGGGCTGTTAACCTCAAGGTCAGCAATTCGAAACTACCAGCTGTTCTACAGGAGAGAGACGAGGCTTTGTACTCCCGTAAAGATTTACAGCCTCGGAAATCCTGTACAGGGTCGCTATGAGTCAGAACTGACTCCACGGCACAGAACCACCACCACTAAGGTATTATTGCATTTGAGTTGGGATTAACACTTTAATAAAACAATCCTTTTAAACCTCCTGGGTTAAAAGATTTCTGATACCTGGAAAATCCTTTCCCACCATAGTCTGATTTGCAGTGGAAAATCCTGCATATAAGTAACATATGGGTATCTGTTTCCCATCCACTATTAGGTCTGTCCCCATGCGTACTACAGACTTCATGCCTGTGGGTCCCTGGGCTCTATACCTTTACTTCACTAGCACAGCGAGGGGCACCCTGTGTTGTGCTCGACCTGACTAAGCACTGGGGAATATAGGTAATGGAGACAGGATATCTGTTCTCAGGGAGTTTGTGACCATTCTTTTCAATGACATTTTTTCTCCGGCCCACCTGCTCTCTCTGTGGGTTCATCAGCCTTATCAGATGACATCTCAAATCTCCCCCATTCTCCTTAATCCGAATCTCCCCCACGATCCCAGTTCCTTCCCCCACTGCCATGGAGAACCCTCTCTTCCCCACCGAACCCAAACCCATAGCCCAGGGTCCATTTCGACTCCTAGATGCCACTCGAGGACAACAGGGTTTCCCGGGCTGTCTATCACCAGACAAGAAGACTGTCTTATGGTTCTCACACAGTGACTGGTGGGTTTGAACCACCGACCTTTTGGTTAGTAGCGATCGCTTGATCCACTGCGACACCAGGGCTCCTTCTATACAGTAGCCCTTTTTGACACAGGGCTCGCCCCCCCCCCATCACCTTCAGAGACCCTTCCATCCCTATCATTGTGCCCTCAGCCAGCTCCTCAATATCCAGCTTCGAGGCTCTCCCATTATTCTTACCGGTACCCTCCTTCACAGACATCTTCCCACCCCCTTCAGGGGTCTCCAGCCCCTCTCTCTTCCCAACCCCCGCCTCAAATGACAGCTGTACTCCTCTCGGGGCGTCTCTCAGCACCCCGTCCCTGTCGGGGGCCTGCACCCCTTTCAAGGGCTCAGCATAGGTGCCTGGGCCTGCATCCGCTCAGTGAGCACCCAACGCTCCCGGAGCGTCCGGCTCGGTGCCGCCACAGGGGCCGCACCTCCTCGGCGGGCTGCGTGTTGAGCACCAGCACCAGGCATGCCGGGTGGCAGTGCAGTCGTAGGAAGTGGAAGAGTAGCCGGTCGGCGCCGAGTCCGCGGGCGCACACGACCAGCCCGTCGGTGTCGAGCAGCTCCAGCACTAACTGCCGCTCATACTCCAGCAACGGCGCCATAGCTGTTCTTCGAGCCGGCAGTCCGGACTCCATGGACGCCCTTCCGGGGCCGCGGCCGAGTGTAGCCGAAGGGAGCCGGGTCCGAGACGAGTGTAGCCGAACGTAGCCGAAGAGAGCTGAGTCCGAGAAGACGAGCGCTAGCCGAACACAGCCGAAGAGAGAGGAGGCCGAGACGAACATCGACCGAACGTAGCCGAAGAGAGCCGAGTTCGAGACGAACGTAGCCGAACCTAGCCGAAAAGAGCTGAGTCCGAGAAGACGAGTTCGAGCCGAGCAAGCCGAAGAAAGCTGAGTTTGAGAAGTCGACGGTCGACCGAACGCAGCCAAAGAGTCTCAAAGTCACCTAGAGGTACCTGCACTCGCGACCCCGGCCCCCTTCAGGGTTTAGACTCCATTCTTCGTACCTTGACTCTGAAATTCGCAGCGCAAGTCACCTACTCCTCGAACGTAAACTACCAACAAGCAAAGATGGAGAGAAATTAACACTAACTCGCGACTTGGACAGTTGAGACAAGTTCACTGTCAATCTTCCAAGTGCTCCTAGAAGTATAAAGCTCCTGTTTCTGATGGTGAAGTTTACTTTTGCATTTGGTCTGCCTTAAAAAAGAAATTCAATAAACAGAACAATATTCTAATTTCGGACTCCAGTTTTTCTATTAAACGTCTTGAATACAATAAACTGTTTTATTCAACTAGGAGTCCCCCTGCAACACACGCGTCCCGCTTTCCACTAGAGGGAGCTCTTTGGTAATATTTGTTCTATGGTTAGAAATGGCTGGCTACTCCAACCAGAGGAGGAATTCGTCTACGTATGCAAAATCCACCCCCACGCCCTTTTCTTTGTCATTGGAAATTCATGCTCACTGCTGGAAAACAGAAAAACATATAAGTAAACAAGCAAAAAAACCTTGATCTTCCATCATCCAGAAATCACAAATAACGTCATGAAATTATACTATTAGTCCTCTTTTTTATACACAGTGTCTCATCACACAGAGTTCCTTAACAAATACGAGAATAAATTTAAATCCCAAGTATTGGCACTTAACATTGGGCAAAACTTTTAACATGGCATTTAATACTGCTTTTACGGAGTCGTTCTGAAGGTTGGTGAGATTTCTGTTATGTGGATATGCCATTACTGATTTAACTCATTCGTTGTCACTGCAGCCCTGAACATCTTTGTACACTTACTCTTCACTTAGCAACGTGATTAGGTTCCAAAACTCAGGTTGTTATGCAGACCTTGATATCAGGGGGAAATAGAGGATGACCGCATCTGAATACAAAATTGGAGGATTGTTGTTGTTGATAAGTGCCATAGAGTCGATGTCAACCCATAGCGACCCTGTATAGGGTTTCCAAGGAGCGACTGGTGAGCTTGAACCATCGTCGTTGCAGTTCAAACGACTTGGCAGTCTAACGCATTAGCCCACAGCGTAACACATTGTATAACTGCCAAATCACATTATTACGTAACTGTCAAACCACTGAGAATAAGCCCTGCCAAGTTAACATGTAACTTAATCATCACCACTTTCAATCTGCTCTCACACCTCAACATCCCTTACCGCCAGACATACATGTGGATGCTCTACAATTGTTGTAAATGCAAAAACGTCAGATCACAAGTTAGTCAATGACTGGGAAGTTGTTGCTGTTAAGTGTCTGAGTTGATTCCAACTCATACTGACCCCCTATAGTGTGTCCCAGGAGTAGCTGGTGGGTTTCAACTGCTGACTTGGAGGTTTGCAGTACACCGCTTACCCTATGTGCCACACCAACACTGTTGTTGTTGTTGTTGTTAAGTGCCATCGAGTCGGTTCCGACCCATAGCGACCCTGTACAGGGTTTCCGAGGGTGTAAATCTTTACAGGAGTAGAAAGCCTCATCTTTCTCCCGTGGAGCAGCTGGTAGTTTCGAACCGCTGACCTTAAGGTTCGCAGCCGGATTCGTAACCACTACTCTACCAGAGCTCCTTGGTGGGTTTCAACTGCTGACTTTGAGGTTTGCAGTACTCCGCTTACCCTGTGTGCCACACCAACACTAAGTGTGATAAATTCAATCATGCACTTTGATACATTTCTAGAAATGAAAGGTTACTGGAATAGAGAGACTGAACATTTATAAAGCTTTTCATTACATTCATACTACACATTGTCCAATTTGTATGTAAATTAGAGATTTACAAGAGGGTCTGTTTCTCTACCTCCTTACTGCTTGCTTAATACTGTATTTTATTTACATTTTGTGAAGATTAAAACAACATATAATAATTTCTGAATGCTGGCTAAATGGAAAAGGATATCTGATAAGCAGCAGGTAATTGGTGTGCATCATTTCGCACGAGACACGTATGAATCATTCCTGTTTCCTAAGTGAGAAAATGGAGGCTCAGAGAGGTTATATTTTTAATGTGGGCAAGATCACCAAGTTAGTTTGTGCATTTCTTAGATAAGAGTTCAGGACAAGTTACAATACATTTAGGAAATGTATGTTGAAGTGATAGCTCTGAAATTAAAACTTGATTTCCAAGATGTGGCAGGCAGAATCATGGCTCCCAAAACAAATGTCTAGGTGGAGCACATGGTTAAGTGCTTGGCTACTAAAGGAAAGGTTCATGGACAGACCCACCCAGAAGCTCCTCAGAAGAAAGTCTTGGCAATCTTCTTCAGAAAAATCAATGATTAAAAGCCTGGTTGCCAGTTCTAATCTGAACCATATGGGGCTGCCATGAGCTGAAACTGACTCCATGGCAAAATGTTGGATTTCTTGTTTTTTTTTAAAGGTACTCAGGGAGTCCTTGGATGATGTGAATGGTTTACACACTTGGCTGCTAACTGAAAGGTTAAAGGTTTGAGCCCTCCCCCGCGCCCCAGGTGATTTGATGAGCCCTGGTAGCATAGTGGTTACAAGTTGACCGGCTAACCGCAAGGTCAGCAGTTCTAATCCACCAGCCAGTCTAGTCTGCATGGGGAAAGACAAAGCTTTCTTTGTCTTTGCCATTTACTTCTTTTTATTTTTTGAACTACTTAGATTCTGTACAGATTTTCAGGCTCGGAAAACTTATACAGGGTGGCTATAAATCAGAACTAACTGGACGGCATACTGCCACCACCACCACATAGGTTTCTCCAAAGAAAGGCCGGCTGATCTATTGCTAAGATGGGTCATGTCAAAGTAACGACATGGATTGGCATAGTAGCAGCACCAATGGGCTTAAAGGTAGCAGCGATTATGAGGGTGGTCCAGGACCGGGTGGTATTTAAGGTTTAGGGAAAGTCCTTGTTCTTTCCCCTTTGTGATTGGTTGAAGTAACTTGATTGGTGGTTTGGCCTCTAATGGGTCTTCTTCCTCTTGGTGGTTGGTTGTACCTGGTGCTGTTTTGCTACCATAGTTCCAGGTCCTGCTTCCTTTCTTCTTGTCCCTAGACTGCTTGCTCCTATGAAGAAGACTTAGTGTTTGGTTAGCTAGTAACTCAGGAGTTCTGGAGTGGAATAAGCACTAGACTGATAACTGCAGGGATGGCAGTTCAAACCTAGTCGCTCCTCAGAAACCCTATACAGGGTCACCATGAGTCAAAACAAACTCCATGGCACTTAACCAAGGACCACCAATTATTATTCAGAGACGTCGAAGGGTTTGATCACTATACTCATTTTCTCTCCTGGGAATATATACTTTTGAGGATTCTGTAATTAAAATAAAAATATTTTTACTGTATGACAAGTCATTCATCATTAACAGAAAGGGGGGGGTGGAGAGAGAGAAAAGTCAGAGTGAAGCTGAATACAAAAACCAATTACCTGCTTCTCTTTGTAGCGACAAGTAGTTTTTCTGAAACTGATCGTGGTACTTAAGCATTAGGCAATTAGCCTTTTGTAGGGATTTACAAGAAGCTCTGAGGAGGGTCTCCCCTGGGGAAAATAATACTTGAGTCAGACAAGCTTTGTGAAGCCGGTTTTTCCCTTTGTTTTTGGAGACATTCCTCATTACTTGCTGCATTCGACCTCTTAGAAGGTATCCTGAGAAGTGGACCTGCAATGTAAATGGCGGGGTTCATGGCCATAAGAACAGGATCCCTTTGTTCACAACGGATGAAGAATTTCAAGATGGTGACAGTAGAGCATGAAACCAAGGGGCCCTTCTGAGTGGCCATAACAGCTGTGTCCTTGAGGACAATGTTGGAAATACTGATGGCTAAGGCTTTCATCTGTTGGGCATCTAACTTACAAAACCAGGTTCGATTTTGACTCGTGGCAACCTCATGTGTGTCAGAGTGGAACTGTGCTTCGTTGGCTGAATTTTTTCAGAAGCAGATGCCAGGTCTTTCTTCTGAGGTGCTTCTCTTCTAGGTAGACTCCAACTTCTAACCTTCAAGTGACCAGTTGAGGCTGTTATATCCCTTTACACCACCCAACCTCTCTTCTCATTCACAAAGGACATTTAAATGTCCACTAGCGTTCACCACTAGCGTTCATTTTCTCCAATCGTGGTTCTAGCTACAGTTTTGGGGAAGCATAGGTAGAGAGAAGGTAGACAAAAGATGCTATGACATTTGGGTCTGATTACTGGTCTCCATTGCCTGAAGTGACCTATGACTTAAATCTAAAGGGAAATAAGCGATGAAATTATACCGTTGAAACCATCTCCAATGGAATATTTAAAAACACATTTAAAACTGTAAACTGTAAGTAACACAAACTGATCTTCTCGAACATTGATGTCATCATCATACGATTATAAAAAAATCTCAACTAACAGTATTTTGCTGCAAAACAAAACAAAAAGCCAGACCCCTGTGGTTTTTATTAATTGGAAACAACCAATCCATGATGTTAGGTAAAAACACCAAAAGGAAATGCAGAAGTGGATGCAAAATATGATTTTATAGAAGATATCTATTGTGAATATATTTATTTTGCTTGCATAAACATATATAGAATCTGAGAGGCTAAGAAAGCCAGAATGCTGATTTTCTGTTTGGGGAAGTTGGACAGAAGACGAATGAGAAGAAGCAGATACATCATTGT